GCAGCGGCAGTAAAGGCAGAGCTGCGATACTCCAGGCTGTTAGATTTGTCAACAGGTAAAGGGAATAGTGAACAAGACAGATGTATGATGGGAAGGAGGAAAAGAGGGACTGAGTATTTTTCTTGGTTAGGAAAGATCTCGCGCGTTCACATCCATGCATATTTTCCACGCATGCTCTGGAATACTGTACTTGGTGGTATAATGATTCTGTTTCCTGGCGTGCGACATGGGATGCATGCGTCAAACACCCTATTTTTATCTTTTTCTCTGTGTAACACAGTCCGAAGCTCTTCTCCTAATAACTCAGCGGCTGAGCATGGGTGACAAAGGCTGCTCTCGGCTACTGCATTCATAATAAAGGATGTGCCCTTCCTACCAGGCATGCTTTGCTTGGCAATACGTAGATCCAAGTGGAAAGAGCTGTACTTTCCCCTGCTGTGAAAGTGTAAAAGGACTTAGCTGTGATCAGGTGCACAATGTTTTGGAATGAGTTTTCCTTCCCAAATAAAGGTGAGGAGACAGCAGCCGCCTGGTTTAGTACACCAGAAAAATGCAGGCAAAATTTAAGTATGCAGATAAGACCTCTGTGGTCAGTGTTTTTGGTTTTGAAATGAAAGTATGTCACGTTCTCTTGTTCTGACCAACCACCGACTACTCTGTTCTTTTCCTTTTTCAGCAACACTGTTAAAAATATTTGAACTGGTCTCAAATGATATTTGCATTTTTATTGTCTGAAGCTGCTAAGATCAAAATCAGACTTAATTGTGGGCCTGTTTTACACTCCTCTAATTCTATCAAAAGCGATGCAGTCACTGGTAATTAACACCAGAACAAGACCGATCACAGTTAAGCTCTTTGTCACCTTACATCATCTTACGCAAGAGCGAGGGAAAGGCTGCACCAGCTGGGCAACTGCTCCACCACACCAAGCTTTCCCTGGGATTCCTACACCTCTCCGTCATCGCTTTCACAACGCCCTCTCCCACCAACACGTCTTCATTCTCACCAGTAGATTGCTGCTCATCTTGGCACAGGGTGCCAAAGCAAATCCCAGCCTTTCCCTGGGCAGACGCGCTGCGCACCGTGCATCGGGGCTGAATGTCTTCGCACGCCCAGGCGCCGCGGCGCTGAACGCCAGGCGTCTTCCTCCAGCAAAGCGCGAGGGAAACAGCGTGGCTTCACCCCTCACAGCCGACGCCTGACTGCAACGTACTATCTGATTCAGTCCTACAGCGATGATAACCTGAGGTTTATCACAGACGTGAGCATACCCAGCCTGCCTGGATTCCAACCGCGCGCCTGGTGCATATCTATGAAATCTGGCAATCAGAATTAAACAGACTTGAAAAACAATGAGCAGACGGAGATGAAGTGCTTTTAACACGAGCATTAGGAAAAAAAGCAAAACCTCCCCAAACCTCGCTACAGTTACTGAATTTTGAGGAATTTTTACAAATGTTGCTTCCAATAATTCAAATGCTATTTCAGCATCGTGGTTATTCTAGAGTCTGTGAGGAAAACGTCTATTATTTAAGCCATGACATTTATTTTAAGAAACACGGCTGAAGTATTCTGCGTGCTCCCTTCCAAGTGCTTTATGCTTTTGGCATGCTGAAGCATCTGTTGAAATGCTCAGAAAGCTACCTGTCATAACAAGGAGCCCTCTGTGCCTGGAGAGGCTCCTGGAGGCCACCGAAAGAATGGTCCCATGCTGACGGGACACATCAGCCAGGTACACCCTCTGCACCCACCCACGCCATCAGGAAAAAGGGGGGCTACACTACATAATAGCTTTTACGTGCACTTACTGGGAGTTCTGAGAAAAGGCTGCAAAAACCCTACAGCGGTGCATTCCTCTAGACTCTGACTCTGTAAATATCTTAAATGACCGTAGTGGCTGATTTAGGGCTTAGCCTGTCCCAATGCATTCAGGGCAGAGCTCCCACTAAGAACAAAGTGGGGCACAACCAGGGACCCTCTAAACTAGCCAGCAGCGTGTGCTTGAGACTCTCCAGGCTACTAGGGGCTGCATCCTTAATGATAATGATGTGCCAAAAAAATCCATAGGTAACATCCATATCAGCAATGCGTCTATGAATGTGTGTGCCTGTTCTTTGTACGTTTGGTAAGTAATAAAGACAACAAGTAAATACGCCAATTTATGCCTCTAAAAATAGTAAGAACAGTATTTACATCTTATCCTACCATGTAACTGATGGCCATGCTGCTTGCAGCAGCTACCACAGTGCTTATGCTCAGCAATGCCTTACACGTCCATCTACATTTCTAGAAGTGTTCAGGGAATACCTTGAGTCTGTGTGGAGAGAATCATTAGTGAGACTAAACACCCAGCCTGGGGAAAAGGGGCTTCTTTCCCTTTTTTCCCCATTGATGTTTTGGAATGTAATTCCAATGCTTTCAAAAAGGTCAAACAGGATAAAATCTATAAAACAGTGAAATTTTTAAAATAATTGCTGCTTGTCTCTTTAAGCCAGAGCTTTGGGAGCTACACACCAAATAGCTTTATTGCTAACTTTTTCAAGTAGTAGGTCTGGTTTTTTGTTACAGTAACTGCACATGATTAATGATGTAATGAAACAAATTGTCATGTTTTAAAAATGTACCTAATATATGCCTCAAAAAAATACCAGTGAGTGCTCAGTGTCCTGATTTTTTAAAACGAAATTGAAGATCAAACTGTTTGAACTACAAAGAAAGTGCACAAACATTTTGAGTATTGATTTTAGCTGTGAGCACCAAGCATGCATAGAAATAGTGTCATCAATTCAATTTTTAAGAAAAAAACTTTACTTTTAGCTACTACGTAGAAGCACTAGGAGACATAAGCCATTGCATCACAGGTTTAAATGGGAAGAGGGGAAAGTTGGTCTTGCGGGCAATGACTGTCACGTGAAGCAAAGGCACCAACGGTGAGGTCAGGGGACCTGGGCACCTATTTTCACGTGCACTGCAGAGATCCTGCCCAACCTTCACCTGGGCAGCCACTGAACTGCCCTGCCTCTGTGGCCCTGGGCTGAAAACGCCCAGGGACCTGCTGCTGAAGGCTCAGGGAGCCAGCAACCTACAGCTCTGACAAAAAAAAAGACATGAAAAGATTGCCCTCATCACAAAGTCCCCTCCTATTCTGTCCTGTTTTGACTCCGAATTCCTTTGCTAGGGGAGGCTTGTGGAAAAAACACACTTCAGGGTGCCCAGAGCCAGGGGATGGTAGAGGCTCTCCACTCAGACTCCCCTCCCAAACCAAAGGGCTTAATACCGAGCGCCCGGGAGAAGCCAGGCAGCCCTCCCGCAGATTGGGGGGTGCACTGAGTGCCCCAGGGCAGCGGCAGGGAACCAGCAGGCAGCTGTACTCCGCCCTACAGAGTGGGCGCCAGGCAAGGGCTGGCAGCCCCCAGCTGAGAGATGCAGGACCCTGCAGGGCGAGGAGCAGCCCTGGCAGTGCCGATTCGGCCAGATGCACAGCATCCGTGGGGGACCAACAAACCACTGTGGCACCCGCCTTGCTGCGGCCTCTCGCAGCATTCCTGTCTCTTTCCAGCTGTTCCTCTCCACCTTCAGCATCACGCTCTGCAGGTGTACGAGTTTCAGCCACTTCGATACCACCCACGTGCCCTTCGTGCTTTTTAGGTCTCTGGCCCAGAAGGATGGAGGCTGCTGAAGCCCATGGAGTACTTAGGACTGAGAGAGGCACATCAGCCTGACCAGGTACCTCTTCCCTTTGCTGGCAACCAGGCACGTAATACTGGGTGCCAGTTTTCGGATGAGGTGCAAAGCTCAGCTCCAGACCACTTGTCAGTGTGGATTCAAAATGGAGGTGCCAAACTTGGGCCACACGAATGCTCCTGTACACTGTTCTCTGATGAGAGCACAAGCTAAAAAAAGGAGTGTCTTATTCAAAACAGCAGAGCAGGCAGACTTCAGAGCAAAAAAAAAAAAACCAAAAACCCAAAACCAAACACCTCCTTAGGAGCTAAGGTGACCCTCTGGCTGTGATAGCTTCTGCTGAATTTTATCTGACACAGTTAACCAAAAAAAGTGTATAATTTACGCCCTGTGCGACTTAACATACATGCTACTACACCTTAGTCCTTCACTTACTTCAAATAAAAATGTAACAGGAATTCCTACAGGTTTTTGTGCTGCTTTCAAGATTTATTTTTCCTTTCTAAAACTAATTTTCCTTGGATTCACTCAAACTCTGTTTTAAGATCCAAATGCAGTCAGAGCTGGTCCACAAATAAAAATAAAATGGCTTGCTCCTGCAAAGGGCTAAGCCTGGGCAGAGGGTGAGAGCTGGATGGGAGAAGGAGTGAATGGAAAACAGCAGGAGTGTGTTTTATGTGGCACTTTCTAGTGCTGCCACTTGGACTTTAATTCAACAGTGCTGCAAAAGAGCAGCTGTTCACATCATGATGAATAAAGACCTATATAAAACTTCCAGCTGCAAATATGCTGTGAGGAATTATTAATCTTAATGTAATAGAGACGCTGCACACCCAGTCACTGGCTCACAAGTCATTTCGGTCTCTGTCCAGGGAAAAGCAGCCTTCGTGGCTGCTGGCTCTCAGCACAGCCATGAAATCTCCTGGTCTAAACAGCCGCAAGATGCTGCTCTCTATTTCTAGGAAGGATTTTCCTCCTCAAAAATAGATGTACCTAGAAACCAACACAACTCACACGCCTCTTAAAATTGTAAGACTTACAAGAGGGATGCCCATCAGAAAAGGGGTTACTAACAGAATGAATTTGTAAGTCCTGAGGATCTTACTCGCTGGGACACTAGGAAATCATTACGGCTCTCATGCCATTTTCTACCACGAGACTGAAGAGATGTCCTTCCCATAACCCTTCACGATTCCCAGCCCCGCTTTCAGGTGACCGGAGGCAGCCAGCCCTCTCCGCACCATGGCCCATCTCTCAGAGGGCATCACCTAACTGTGCAGCTGTGGGAACTTCCAAAACCTCCTTGCAGGACTGGGATGGGGAGAGTCATTCCACCGTGGAGGGACAGAGGTGGCACCCACGCCAGGCAGTCCACTTAAATGAAGAAGTTTTACTTCTTCGCAAACAGCCCCGCGCTTCCCCAAGGGGGACCACCGCTGGCCCTCGTGTGGGAAAACAACCTTTCCCCTGGGTAGCCTGTCCTGTGGCACGGCACCACGTGTGGCCTTTTGGGGCTCTCCACCCTAGCAGCCTGCATGCGTTTGTGTTTGGACAGGACCCACAGCAATATGAAACTGAAGCGTGGCAGGCTTTCAAATTGCATTTGAGTAAATGCACGCTGACAACAGAAAGAGGGGCTCTGGAAACCACAGATTAAAAATCCGGGCCTGGGAGTCCCATGCAGTAGTGCCCCGCCCTTGAAACTACCCAGCCCCTCAATTTACTCAGCTTCCACTCAAACGTTTGCCCTCAGCATCCATAACAGCTTTCAGTTTGGACAGTGATATCCATGGTCATTTAAGCGTTAAAAAAAAAAAAAAATCACAGGAGCACTGCAACAGGAATTCATTACATATTCTTAGGCAGATACCCCGAGCAAGCTTATACTTGTGAACCTGCTTTTTGTCATGTCGCTGACGCATCACTCACATCCAGCAAGCTCCCATTTGTGGGTGAGCGCAGGCTGGCCCGGGATCCTCGAGCGTGTGTCCGGTGCCGTCGGCGCAAGCGGGATGGGCGTGATGCCCTCACCGATGCCCACCCCAGCCACAGCACAGCACCACTGCCAATATCCATCGGCAACTTCTCCAAACCCAAGGCACCCCCCCACACCCCGAACGCTGTGTTATCACTCGGTGGCTCAACTAGCGCTGCAGCAACTCCATGACTTTCAATTCCCACGCCTGCAAATTTGAGGGCAACAGGGTGCCCAGCTAGCCCAGGGGTTAGTTGCTTAAGGGTCAGTGCTTTTGAGATGCTTTTTCTGCACAGCAAGATGAACACTGGCTCACATGGGACAGGGGCAACACAGTTCCAGGCAAAATACCTCTGGGGTTCATAGACACCAGTGAGACAGCACTACACCAGAAATGGCTGCTTTCCCCCTAAATTTTAACTCCTATCCCAATGACATTTATTTAAACTGCTACTGCAGACAGAAAGCTGGGGCTATGTTTAAAGGCTTTATCTCTGTAAATATTTGGAGAGCTATAAGTACTGAGACATATTCATAACATGAATATTGGACTTAATGTTCTGTTGCCATGAAAATTACTATAAATACACTTTGAATTCTTAATTTCTCTGACTTGCCAAGAAATCCTTTAAAAAGACAAAAAAATTCTTACATAAGACATCTTGCTGCTTAATTAGCTATTGGAGTCAGAGGCCACAGCACAGAGCAGGAACTGAAAACGCAACGATAGAGGCAGACAAAGCATGTAGTGCACTAGCATGCTATATAGCTGTATGTCCCAAGTGGGACTTCTTATAATCAGACACTCCACGAGTCAAGCCCCGACTCCTTTCTGTATTTGGGGAAAGGAGGCTGTCTGAAGGTTTGAAATAAACCTCCTTGCTTCTCCTAAATCACATGAACACCGATGGCTTCCAAATTTCACAGTACCTCTGTCCGGGTTTTTTTTTTTATGTAGAAATGAATTAAAAGAAGGAAAGCATTTCAAGGCTTTATATAAAAGCGCAGAGCGAGGATGGCTTTGCAGCTGAAGGAGTAGTGAGCTGGGCATAGGGTGATTGAGTTCCCATCTCCAGCTCTACCAGATCGTTTTTGCTTCATCACAGATACATGACTTGATTAGAGCAGAGAAAATTTCATAACAAGTTTTTACATATTTCCAGCCTGCTCTATGTTTAATCAATTTGTGCTTCAGCCTTCTTATAAAATAAAAGCCAGTAACTGTGCCATGTGGCCGGGTAACCCCTTCTTCACTACGGAAAACGCAGCGCTTCTCAGCCCTCTGGTTCCAATCCTCACATGACTTACACCCACATTCCTTGGGGAATAAAGCAGATTAATGCAACCCCCTTGCTCTTCGGAGTCAGAAAAGTGCTGTCTGCACGTGTATGTTCCTCAAGACAGGTTCTGCTTCCATTGTCTCAACCCCCAAAAAGTACTGTTACCACACGCACAAGATTCATAAACATGTTATTAGTGACTCCTGTCTCAGAGCAGAAAAGGGCAATGTGTTTTGCCAGGTCACTACACACTTCTGGTCCTACTCTCCTTCCACTAAGCCATCTTTGATCCACTTGGTCTTACAGCTCCAATTACGCTGCAGTTTTATCTGAGAGCATGCCTTCCACAGAAAGCATCTTAATGCAGCAATAAAAATAGGTCAGGTATATGTTATAGCTCAGCTTCAAGGTTTTGACCTCCAAGACAGTCTGATGAAACTGTGAAAAATCCAGAGAGATTGGAGTCTACACTGTGAGTTGTTTGAGACCAATGGTGATGCCATTGGTTGATGTCATTCGTTTTACCAAAAAAACCCAATGGATGCAACAGACCAGACTTTCTGACCACAAGCATAACATGAGCAGCTCTGCCCAACAGGCCACAAGGGCTAAAATGAACTGAAAGGCCTGTGGTCTCCAACAGCAAGTAAATAAAATAAGCATGAAAGACTCTTAGATAAACTTTCTCAACAGATAAGGACTACTTTCAATCGATCATTCTAAATATTGTCACGTTGACTAACATTATTTAGCAACAGCTGTTGCACTAGAATTTAATCCAAATATTGATGAGCTAATACCACAACACTGTTTAAAGCAAGTAAGACAGCCAAATAAAATGTTGCAAATATTAATGGCAGAATTTGCCAATAAAAGCTTTACAGGGTAGCTTAACTGCTGCTGCAAATGGATGATACCTTGCTGTAGTCAGTTAGCAGGATGTCAGTGCACAACTGGGATTTGAGGAGGACACTGAGGGTAACACTTTCTCCTTTGAAGGAAGGTATGATGAGTACTGGCAACCAGGACCTGTGTTTTTACACCCAAACCAAGACAGCATCTATATCAACCTGTTTACTTCAAACATGAGGCTCTGGCACGGGTCAAGTCCCAAGCCAGAGCCAGGAACACCAAAGTCTTAAAAGGCACTGCTCCTCCCCATCATGCTCAAGCCTTACTTGGTTAACTAACCTAAGAAGTAAACCTCGGTCCTGGTGAACTGGCAGAATCTTAAAGCCTGCTGGGCCCAGTTACACATATTTATACACAATACATCGAGTCAAAAAAAACCCAGGGAAAAGCCAGGTGATTCACGCCACCTTAACACATACAGGCTGGACAACAACAGGGTCTAGTCACCTTGGCTGCCTTCACAGCCAGCAAAATGAGACATGCACTCTGAAGGTGTGACTTACCTGAGCTGCTTCAGATGTTCACATCAGAATAAAATTAATAGCTCCCTAAACTCTATACCGACAAGCCTTCCCCTGATTACAGAGAGAAACTAAGGCAATTAGCTCAGTTGCAGACATCTACGGTTAGCCAAATAAACCCAGACGCAGACTTGCCCCTGTAACCAGCCCAGGCCACAGTTCAAAGCACGAGTGTTCCACAAACGCAGGGCAGCGCTGCAAGAAAGGCACACTGCACTTAGCCCAAAGACGCACGGAGCAGAGCTTCTGTGAGAAGACCCCCGCAGTGGCAGAGCCCGCTACAGACACAATGCTTTGCACTTCACCATCATGCATTTTGGGCAGTCACCCACAGCTTTTCACAGCAGGGGTATGAGACATCAACTTGAATGGTGGTACTTTGCAGCCCTTCTCTCTCCCAGAGGGAAAGGTCAAAGTCAGCTCCACCACAGCTTAACTTCAGTGCTTTGTCTCCTCCACCCTCATTTTGAGGGCCTGCTGTACCCTGGACCTACAGTCAGCCACAACACAGGGTGGGCAGTGGGTGGTCACAGTTGGGAGACGGACACTTAACAAGCTCCACCTGCAGCCTCCCTCCCCGTGCCTGAGATGGGACTAATAACCCTTCCCTCTCTCAGAGGAGAGGTGCCGCAAGGATCAGCTCATTCGCATGCAAAGTCCGCAGCAACATCCGCCTGCCCCGGTCCCAGCAATGCACCCCATCTCTGCTCTGCAGCATGGGAAATTCTGGAGCAGCATCAGGTACATTTTGGGTGGCCTTCTGTTGCTGTTGTTTCAAAACTGGAGTGCATGTTAAAATCACAATAAAAAGGCAGTACTCTTGCTAATGTTCATTTTTATACTAAATTTAAACTTACATACTTTTCTAATACAAAAAGGGAAAAGAGCATTCACTAGTAACTAGAGAGTCAAGAGGCTAGAGACCGAATTTGATCATATTTTTCTTTATGTTATTTACCTTATTTTACTCAAGACTGGAGGAACAGTAGAATGCTTTTACTCATTATATGATTTTCCTAAAAACATCTGCTATTACAGCTAGGCTTCTAGGTTAACGCCGCCCTGCGATTAGAGCAACCGCCCATGTAAAATCTATTTGGGCTGAGAGTTTCAGGGGCTTCATTTACGCTAGCAAAACTGCAGAGCCATAGCCCAGCACCAGCATTGCCACTGCGCTGTCGTGCTCTTTGCAAAACCTCTTCAACCTGCCTCCATTTCAAGTAGGGCTCTTGCAGCCAGCAGTGGGGCTATGTCAGTTCACATATTTTAAGGTTTTCCTCACAACCGGGAGGGATTAGAAAATGAGGCTTTGATGTCTTCAGGACATGTGCTTGAGATTACTTGTGTACCTAGATGCTAGCACATGTGCCTGCAAGTTGTGGTCTAAATTTGTTTGTCCTTGGCAGCTCGTGTTTGCAGCTATGGGTGGAGTTTGTGTAAAATTCTATTACTGTATGCCATTTTGTAGTCAATAATAGTCTATAACCTATATTCAGTAACAATATTTGAGTCTGATTGAGGAATATTATATTATTGCAGAATAAGAGCTACGACATGAGGCCCACATAGTGGAAACAATGTCACTGCAAGAGAAGCAGTTGAAAATTAATTTGAAAGCCATTTGGAAAATTATTGCAGGATTATTAAAGGTTATTGATGGATAAATGGCATCTATAAATTTCTGTTTAAAAAGCTGCACATTCCAAGCCATTTTATGAGTTTCTGCGTATATGGGGAGAGATTTACATATTTTACGTAGCTTTTTTTCATTCTGAGATGACAGGCACTATCTAAATATTGTTACACATATAAACAGGACTGCTCCACGCTGTATTGTGTTTGAACCAGACCGCAGACTTTCCATAGCACAGGAGGTGTTACAAGATCTTAATACAGACTTCTGCAAGGAGCGGCAGGATTTTTTGGGGTTTTGCCTTTTTTTCAACAAGCGTTATCTTCTGTGGACTTCTCCAAGGCAAAAAACCAAACCCATACCAGTTACACTTCTTCAGCACTTCACAACTTTTAAAAGTGCTATTCCTCTTCGAGTCAATGAGAGTTTTACAGCTAAATCTAACCCTGCATGCTTTGCCAATTTTCTCTGGTGTTTTTCTCCTAGAAATGCAAGCACTTGGTACATACATAGCAGTGAGCCTGTATTAAAAGCCACAGCAGGTGGAAAATAATACAGCCCAGGGAAGTTTTTGTTTTTGACTCTCCTCACAATCAAAGCTATGCACAAAGCACAATGAGGCACAGTAAATAAAGACATTTCACACAGACAAGCACGAAAATCTTCCAAAACAAAGAAAATTAAATTATCCTTCAACTAAAGAACACACTGCAGTGAAAGACTAAATGAGCGATTCTAATTAAAACCATGCTGCG